ACTCGTCCAGATTTAGAAGAAGATTTAGATTTAGAAAAACATTGATATATTTGTGCCAAAATAACTGTGAAATACAAATAAATGTCAACAATTACAAAGATTATCTTGATTTGGTCTTGATGGGCTGTGGTCTTGGTCTTGATCTTAACCTTTAAAAGTCTTGACTCTCGCACGTCTTGCTCTTGTCCTTGTCTTGGTCCCTGTGGTCTCGGACTGGCCTTGTTCTCGATTAGTCTGGTTTGGTTTCATTAGTCTGGTTTGGTTTCCATGAAGAAAGGTTTAATACCATACTGTGAAACATTCCAGACAAGGCAATAACATCTCCATGGAGAAAAGTGTTTGTCGGACCCTCCTCGAGTTACACAATGCACCTTCAAGATGAGTCTGAACATTCAACAAGCCCCTCTCTTTGTATTTTTTTCTCAACAGCACAAATCATCTCATCTGTTGTAAACTAACCTGACCTGCGGAGCTTCAGACAGAGAAGTGCCTCCAGTCAGCATCGCACCCCCAGGAAATGTTGATGACGTCAGCTGCGAAGTATCAATACAAACCTCCTGTACGAGTATTTGTCTGGAGTGACTGTATTGTAGTAAACTGAGCCCTGAGGAGGAGCTAAAGCCAAAGCCAAAGTGCAGATATTTAAACAGCTGGAGTGTGTTTGACTGTTTGCTCCGACGCGTGAAGCACTAATGACGACGCCAATTAGCACAGGGCAGTGAACGAGACTTTACATGTGCTTCTGCTGAGAGCGGCAGAGAGGGGCGGGCACGGAGGACGAGAGACTTTACATGAGTGTGGGATGGTCCGGTATATGTGGAGATTAAATGGTGAAACCTGGAGTACCTGATTTTTGAACCACTTCTGAACTAAAGCATCATAGTGATTTGTATGACTCATTCTTACAAGTTAGTAAAAAATAATATCTAATCAAAAGACAACGTAGCATGGCCAGAGTGACTCCTAGCTCAGAGTGACACATCTTCATCTCTAAATCCTTCTCTTTATGTGAGAGATTGGGTCTGTGTTACCGGAGGAGCCCTATTTCCAGGGTCCACCGCCTATTTAGACATGCCGGGATTACGACATGCCTCTATTTAGAAGTGCCAGTCATCTGACACTTTTTAGTATCGCTATTCCGACACGTCATATGTGTTTTGGGCTGCCAGAGTGTCGTCTCATTGAGCTGGCGCAATGAACTTGATTGGTTATTTATTTACCGTATTTTCCGGGCTATTAGACCCGATCTTAAGCCTCTAACCCCATCAAAAAACGGCCGCGCGCCCCACAATCCAGAGCGCCCCATACACGAATCCACTCGGGTGTCCCAGCACGACTTCAGTAAACTACAAAGCCGCACCACCCGCAGAACACGCAAACACACACTGAGCAAACAGAGACCGCACAGCGAAAAACACCCACAGACACACTCATCACTCCACGCCGACGAGGAACGGAACGGAGGAACGAACCGAAAAAGCGAGCGCAATGTGCCACTTCTAGACACGACTGAACAACTGAGTCACTGCGAACACGCCGACAATCCGTTGGTCCCAGACACACCCTCCCTACACGCCACAACTGAACAAAGCCCAGAGTCACCGTGAACGACACAAACAAACAAAACCACTCACCCATCACACTGTTGGGTTTCCTTTAAAGTCCAGTGCGGTTTATTTGTGAAAAAAGTTCGAAAATAGACCATTTAATGACAGTGCGTCTTATAATCCAGAGCACCTAATAGCCCGGAAAATACTGTAGGCTGTATGGTGTGGCCCATGCAGCCTCTGTTTTGGTTTTGATATTTTCCCAAAGACTGGCATATGCTCTTTTTTAAAATGCATGTTAGGCCATTTTCCCATGGCTGATGTATTCTCTGATCAAGTGAAGCAAAGTATAATAGGCTATCACACACACCTCAACACCCATAAGATTAGTAAGAACAGTTTTTAATGTGTATGTTGGTGCATTTGCGGCCTGTCTACATGGTGATGCATGGATCTGTAATAAGAACTGGATAAAACACTCCCCCTCTGTCCCTGTGTGCGATCGACTAGTGGCCACTCCAGGTACTGCAGCTCCTGGGAGATCTGACCCAGAAAGAATTGTCCCATAGAACACTTCTTCATTTTTTACAATATGAACTTAGAAACATTTTAAAACAATTAAAATGCCTAAAAGATAGCTTTGTAAGACTTAACCTGGTCTGAGCCCGTGTGAGCTGATTGGTCAGAACTGCATGTTTCTGATGTCACACGTTTTGCGGTGTGGCAATGAACACAAACCATTGAAAACAATACGACACCATCTTGGATTGATCTTCCAGATTTTATTATACTTCCATGTGCTGATGCCACTAGGCCCACTTACAGGTCAGATCTGTGGAGAGGCACCCACACTCACAGTCAAGATTAAGTTATTGTAGGAAAAAAAGCTGTGTAATTCATTAGATACAAAATAGACACATTTAATGCCATATTGCAAAACATTCTTTACAAAACACTAGTTCCATCTCCATGGAGACAAGCAGGTGGTGTTCACCCTCCACAGAAGTTAATGCTCCTTTAGAACTAAATGAAACTGAACTTCTAAACTAATACAACAATCCCAGGCATGTTTGTAGATGTCTAAACACGATATATTATAATTTGTTACGGTGATATATTGTGATAAACAATAATATTGGAACCACTTTAAGCCACTGACTTTATGCTCACTTACTTTAGTGCATTAAAATGGCACAAATCTCCCCACTAATGCAAAGAAATTGTAATATACTGACATATATAAACTATAAGTCTGCAGTAATTATCGTGACAAACCTGTACTAAGCAGGTCTTATACAGAATTATACAGAGTCCATAGAGACACAGGGAGGGCATCTGACACACAGGAACATTTCAGAACATGTTTGTAAAGGTTTTGTAGCAGCTTTTACACAGATTTAGACCACATTTGTAAAGCACGTTACATTAGAGACAATTTCAGCCTTGGAGATTTGCTAATCATGATGCAGTGTGAAGTTGCATAAGACAAACCGACAGGAAGAGGCCGTTAGTCATGAGGCTCCCTCCTCTGCACACGGCTCCCTCCTCTGCACACAGCTCCGAGCTCACACTGGGGAACTGAATCTTTACTCATTTCTGACATGCCACAAGTTGGTAGTGTTGACGCCCATAAGAATAATAAGGATTATATATATATATATATATATATGTAATGTGTTGGTGCATTTGCTGCTTGTCTCCAGGTCAGATTTGTTGAGACTCAAACACACTCACAGTAAAAATTAAGTTATTTTAGGGCAATAAAAAGAGTAATTGATTAGATGCGAAATAGATGCTGCGGAATATTCCTTCCAAAACAAACAAATTTAGGTTGCACCGACCCACCCCAAAAGTTGATTTTTTAACCTGGATTGAAGCGGTGGGTTTTTTGTTTTTCTTCATACAAATTCGCTAAAATCACTGTGATATCAGCAGCAGTGAAATGCCATCGTTACGTTTCCCAGTGTTGGGACGGGCCCGGAGGTGCACCTGCATAGACAGTCGGGCGAAAGGACCGATGTAGAACTCCATGCTCCACGAGGCGAAGAGCAGCTGACGCCCGATTGAGCTTTGTGGACACCCTGCTCCACAGACTCGGGGTTCTCTCAGGGGCAGTCCTAGATTCCAAGTCATAGTCCAAGATTAGACCTGGATTAGTCCTGGTTTAGTCCTGGTTTGGACCTGGTTTAGCTCTGGTTCAATCCTGGTTTAGACTTGGTTTAGACCTGGATTAGACCTGGTTTCAGTCCTGGTTTAGCCCTGGTTCAGTCCTGGTTCAGTCCTGGTTTAGTCCTGGTTTAGTCCTGGTTTAGTCCTGGTTTAGTCAGTCCTGGTTCAGACCTGGTTTAGTCCTGGATTAGACCTGGATTAGACCTGATTTAGTCCTGGTTTTGATTCCAGGTTTAGACCTGGTTTCGTCCTGGTTCAGTCCATATACGGCGCAAAAGTTCGGCATCTTCGCTTGCTGATTGTTATTTGACGATCAGCGACAGTTATTTTCGTGAGAGTGCTGCAATATTTAACATTTTAAACACAGTAATATTGTTATGTAGCAAATTACTTGAAGTGACAGTAAGTAAGTAATTACCACTAGAATTAGAAGCTCTTTGGCATTTTCTTTCGGTAAAGGTAAAACTCACCTGAAGAAAAAAGTTGGAGACCCCTGGATTTGGCATTATAAATACTTCTCACTTCAGCCTAAACGCTTTCGGTCATGATTCATGGGGTTGTAGTCTATGTTTTGTTTTGTTTTTTATTTTTGTAGTGCTGCAAAATGACCCAATAAAATACTACTACTACTATTATTACCATGAGTACTCCAATGAGTCATGGTCAACAGTTTTTTCGTGGACCCCCAACACCCAACACATCGCCCAAGGACCCCCAGGAGTCTCCTCACCGCACTTTGAGAACCCCTGGACTAAAATCCTGAAACCTGAACACAAGAATCACATTTCAGCGCATGTTTGTACCGATCTAAACTACAGGGCGAGCAGTTTTTTATGCAGAATAAGAGATTTTGTGGTTTTGTTGGTGGAGGAAATGATGGTAATTCCAAAACTGCAGCCTTTGTCATTTGCTAATTGCTTCCATTCATATTGTGATTTCGATTTGACTCTGATTAAGCTCTAAATGACTTCCCTGTTGGCGATTTACTAAACCTAACGCCTCTGTCTGTTCACCGCAGCTTTGCCCGCTCATCTGTCCCTTATATCTTTCGTTATCTGTCCATTGATTGCGTTATATTACCTCTATACGGGGCTTTTATAATGCTTGTTTGCCTTTTTTCTACTTCTGCATTGAGTGAGAGGCTGCGCGTGGGAGGCAGTGTGCTCTTCCAGGGGGTTCCTCGCTGCGATTGGCCGCTCTCAACAATGATGCGTCGCGTCCCCGCCCCCACATCCTCCCCGTCCCCCCCCCCGGCTCCCTCTCTCTCTCTGTACGCACATGCCGTCAACCATACCTGCTGCACGCCGCATACTAAAAACTCAAGGGCTGTTCTGAGCTCGTAGGATTTTGAATTGGGGGTCAAAAAAATCGTATCCTCGCTCCTCCTCCTCCTCCTCCTCCTCGCGTCCTACTTCCTTGCATCCTTGCTTCCCGGCTTCCTCAAGCGTTCATTGACGGATGTGGCCATTGACTGGCCGTATTATGTCGGCTGAATGAGGCTAGACCACCTGCATACATCAAAAGGAATATCGTATAACATTGAAAACAACATATATTTTTGGTCTTTTTCGCACCAGAAGGCAGTTTTTTCTATGCAGATTTGAATGCAAGGTATGTTTTCTCTGTTTTATTTTGCTATAAACATGATTTGGATGGGCTTACGTGCGTTGTTGCCTAAATATAAGATTATAAGATGAACTGGTGGAATGACATTGGAGCTACAAACCAGCTTTTAAATGGTCTGTATTACATTATTTTCTGATGTATGTTATAATTTTGTTTCCTCATTACAAACAGACCTGGAGTTGTGTTTTGTTTCATTCATGTTTGACACACAAACCCTGCATATTTACACTTTAGAGTTCTTCTCTCTGACTGAAAACACTCTGTTCTACCTTGTGATGTCATTTGGTAATACAGGAAGTGCTCCATTGCATTTCTAAACTCCTTCCATACACCTTTCATGCTCCTAGGATGGATGATTTCAGCGCTGGAATTTCAATCCAGTTTTTTTTGTATGGCACATTTTATAAATAAGACAGTTTCCGACGTGTTTCACAGAGCAATTTAACACATTTAACACTAAACCAGGGGTGTCAAACTCAGATTCACAGAGGTTCAAAATTAAAAACTGGGACTTAGTCTTGGGCCAAACTAAATATTTATTGAAAAATGTCAACATCTGCATGTTTTCTCTTCTTTCGAGATCTGCAATGTTAAACCTTTTCTTATTAAAATAAATGTTTAATAATAGTTTTGATTTAACATTGAATCCAGAACAAGCATAAAATAATAACAACATTTGAAATAAATAATTTCTGTATCGCGGGACAAATACAATTATGTCACAGGCCAAATTTGGCCCCCGGACCTGAGTTTGACATGTTTGCTCGAAAAGGTCAGCAGAATTATGAGAGGAAAAGAAACAGAATAGTAAAAGAATAAAAATAAAATCAATGAATCAAAATAATAAAAAAAATAAAAATAAAAGCAGTACTAAAAAGAATAAAATAGATAAAAAACAGTAACTAATTAAAAAAATAAATTGACTATAATTAACTGCATCTACTAGTGTTGTAGTCAAGACCGCACTAATCGAGACCAAGACCAGTTTGAGACCACAAGGTCCCAAGACCAGGACAAGACCAAGACCTCTGAGGGTCAAGACTGAGCCAGGACAGAGACAGAACTGAAACCACGGCCCATCGAGACCAAATCAAGACCATTGTCATTTGCAACATTTATTTGGATTTTACAGTTATTTTGGCACCTGTATATCAATGTTTTATGAATCTATCTCCATTTTATCACACATCGAGTGTCAGACCTCGAGACTGAGACAAGCCCGAGTCCAAGCGCCTTCAAGACCGAGACAAGCCTGAGTCCAAGCACCATCAAGACCGAGACAAGACTGAGTCCAAGTCCAAGCTCCAAGCTTCAAGACCGAGACAAGACCGAGTCCAAGCTCCTTCAAGACCGAGACAAGACCGAGACAAGACCGAATCCAAGCTCCTTCGAGACCGAGACAAGCCCGAGTCCAAGCGCCTTCGAGACCGAGACAAGCCCGAGTCCAAGCTCCTTCAAGACCGAGACCAAACGCGCCCAAGTCTGAGACGAGACCAAGATCGTAAAAAAAAAGGTCTCAGCCGGTCTCGAGTACTAGGACACTACTACTGAACTAAAGGTAAAAGGAGCTTGAGCTTAACTTGAAAACTACCACTTCATGACATCACAAGGTGGAACAGAGTATTTTGAGTTTTGGAGATGCAGACAGACTAATAATAAAGAGTTACTCAAACATGTGTGAATGAAACAAAACTCAACTCCAGGTCTGTTTTTGAGGAGGTAACAACATTATAATTAAAGCTCACAAGGGTTAATTTCTGTGTAATATTGGACCCTTTAAATACCATAAATGAATTTGCTTTGCTTGGTTCTAATGACGTTGTGTAAATATTAGCGTTTTATGAAAGGAAGTGTGCAATAGTTTATCTGATGCTTGTTGTCAACATTGCAGGAGTCATGTCTGATTTGCATTAGAAGGATTATTACAGTGCGGATCTGTCATAGCGAATATGTGAAGAAATGCATGTGTTTTTGCAATGCTTTTTTTTTTTTTCTGACGTTTTGGTGACTCTTCCCGCTGTGAGTAAGTCGACAAGTGATGAAAGTTTTATGTTGACAATATGAAATGATGTGAAGATTTGTGTTTCTTGCACCGCCCCTTCAGATAATTTTAGTTTCTGTCAATTTTGTGGCCAGAGTTTGTGCATAATCCGTGTGCCACTCGTTCATTTGATTTTCAAAATAAAACCAAATATAAGAAAATGAAAAAACTATTATTTTCTTCTTTTATTTGTCTCCAGAACCAAAATGAAAAGATGGATAATAATTTCACTGAACCAGGACAGAAATGGGACTAAACCAGGTCTAAGCCAGGTCTAAGCCAGGTCTAAGCCAGGTCTAAACCAGGTCTAAAGGACTAAACAGGACTAAACTAAACAGGTCTAAACAGGTCTAAACCAGGTCTAACCAGTCTAACCAGGTCTAACCAGGTCTGAACCAGGACTGAACCAGAACTGAGTGTTGGTACGTGCCTGGAGGTGCTGCAGGGCTGAGACCGGGGCTGAGACCGGGGCTGAGACCGGGGCTGAGACCGGGGCTGAGACCGGGGCTGAGACCGGGGCTGAGACCGGGGCTGAGACCGGGGCCGAGACCGGGACCGAGACCGGGACTGAGACCGGGACCGAGACCGGGACTGATGGTTTAGACCTGGTTTAGACCTGGTTTAGTCCTGGTTTAGTCCTGGTCCAGTCTGGCATCGCAGTTTAAGTCACAGAAAAGGGAAACGTCTGTTATCTGTTTTTTCCATTATTCATTTAAATCCAAAATCGAAAACACAAAAAAAACGAATCGTTTGTCTTTTCATTTTGGTTTTGGAGACAAATGATTTTTCTTATTTTTGGTTTTATTTTGAAAAACGAATGAACGAATGATACATGGATTGTACATGTTTTGTCCTTCCAGTTACAATAACGTCGCCTCACTCCCTCTACTTAAGTAATATATTTTGTTTTATAATTTATTTCTGCTCTACATACAGCATGTCTCTACACATTACGGACGAAAAAAAAATCAAAATAAAATTACACTGACATCAGAAAGAAAGAAAAAAAACAACCAAACATACAAAAACAGCATTACAATGAGTGACAATTTGGACCGGTTAGAGCTGGAGTTTCTTAATTGCAAGTAATTAATTATTAAAGTAATTACCAACTACTATTACGATTTAAATATTTAGAGTAGAATAATTGTAATTTGGATTAAACAGACTCCAAAACCTGCCCTGTGCTCAGATCCTGTACTAAAATCTCTTGGGAAATGTGTAAATCTGTACCACTTTAAAGCTAATACCTACACATTAAAGGTTGTATGGAGGATTTTTTTTTTGTTTCAAATTGTCAATGAAAGTTTAAAATACCATTACAGAGATGCAGCAGCCTTGGAATTATGATGACCAAAAAAAAAAAAGAATGAAAATCTATCAACTGTGGACGTGTTGAGGCCAGATAAACATCAGCCAATAGAAAACGAGGCTGCCTCATTTTCTATTGGCTGTCAGGTCGTCAATCAAACTCCCTACGTTTCTAGTGTAACTAACTCGTCGGGATGCAGGGATCATGTGGTTTATGCAGCGGTTCTTAGAGGCTTTTTCAAACTGTAGCTTCCTCACATTTCTCACAAAGTTTGTCGCGACGGCGGACGAGAATCCACGACCAGTTCGCCGCAAAAGAAAGTCGTTTTTTGAGGTCGCTGAAAGACGAAGAGAAGGGGAAAAGGAGCAAAGACAAACCGAGGTGATTCTCAGAGATTCCTTCCAGTGATTGCGCGAATGAAGCGGATGAAGGGTCTAAAAACTGACGCGTCGGTCGATAAATTATTTCTAGACAGGTCATTTCAACAGTAATTCTGAACGGGCACTGGCTGTAAAAAAAAACGTGATTTCTAGAGTAAGGAGGCGGGAGGAGATGTTTCTACTGAGGGAGCTGTGGAGGATGAAGGTGGTGTCACGCAGGCACAACATTTGTAAAAGAACTGTCGCTTTATTTCTCTTCCCTTAAAAAAATCCTCTATACAACCTTTAAAGCCACAGTATGTAACTTTCTATCCAAACAATAGACTAAAATAAAAGCATTAATTCATTGTGTAATGTATAAAAAGCACGCATCCTTACGAGGGATGTAACGTATCGTCAGGAGTTTCACAATAATATCGTGGGCCATCACAATATCGAATTACAAGAAAATAATATAGGTACAAAAACAAAGGGAACTACATAGACCATGATCCTTTGCTCCATTTCACTGCCACTTACATGAAAAAATAATTGTTACAAGCACTTTTAAATCTTAATTCTTTGGATTATGACATAACCTAAATAAAGTCTCGCATTTTAAAAGGAAAAAGTAACATTCACAATTTTGTTATATCGCAGTAAATATCGAACTGTGGGATGTATATCGTGAAAATATCGTACAGAGAGATTTGGATATCGTTAAGTCCCTAATCCTTACTGGGGTCAGGCTTGCATCTCCACAGACCCGACTCTTATTTGAACTGAATGTTATTCTTTTGATTATAGTATGTTTGAACTTTCTGTTTCCGTGGAATCATGTAGGTGACACCTCCAGAAAGTTGCGTAATGTACCTTTAATTTATAGTAATTAATTTGAATTATTTAGGTAAACAAATTTATTAAGGTCTTAGGGGTTAAGGTAATCAAGCCTGAATCATCTTATAAAACAATTTACCATTTTTGCCATCTTCTTTTCTCCGTGGAGATGTTATTGCTTTGTCTGGAATGTTTCACAGTATGGCATTAAATTAAACCTTTCTATCTTCATGGAGACCAAACCAGACCAAGTTACAGGTCAGATCTGCGGAGAGGCGACCCCGCTCCCAGTCAGAATGTTGTTTTTCGAGGTATTTTTGAGCTGTAAATTCACCTGTAATTGAATAAATGTAAAGTAGAGCTGTTTAAAGTCACACTGTGGAACATTCCAAGGCAGAGCAATGACGTATCCATAGAAACAAGAAGGCGACGGATC